ATCTTATGTATTGCAAATGACCAGAAACACACACACTCCCTTCAGCCTGGAGCAATGAGGTGGAGGATTCTACTCAGATATTGCTCAGAGCAAAAGCAGTAAGGAAGATTTAGGGCAAATCAATGAATGTCAGTGTATTTATCACAGTGGCAGCACCAATCACACTCTTGGTTTCCAAGTCCGAAACCCCAAACATCTTAAAAAATATCCCAAAACCCCTCCATTAAAAAATGTGTTTTTGCCAGTGCTGCTTCTTTTGGATATTCGATTGTATACAGACGAATATTTATGCCAAATTTGGCACCACAAAGTTGTTTCACTCTATTGAAATACTAAAAGTTTGTCTTTAGTGTGGTGAAATGTCAGATGTCCATGATTTGTTACATCACATGTAATGGCACTAATTCATGGTCCAAAAACTGATTTCTCAGAGGCCCTGTTCACACCTGTAATCAGATCTTTGGTGATCTGATTACACGCCGACAGCTTTAGGTCTGTCAGTTCTCACCTGGCATTAGCATGCGTCTCCACATGCGTCTCGTGTGACCATATGTGATTGAATCTCATCCTGCTCTATATGCAAATAAACACATACATTTCTGTTCAATGTAAAGACCAAATGCCTTGTTGTTTTTAACTGGTGGGCAGCAGCAATGCACTTCCTGAGCCTAAATTGACAGAAAATAAAAGAAGAAATCTAAATGACACAGACTGTGTCACATGGGGGCGAAAAGACAACAGGGGATGGACCACAATGCAGACAGACACGGGGGAACAGAGGGATGATTCACAGTGATTTTAACAAGCAAAAAATGTCCAAAACTAAACTTACAAGGGGGAGTCCAAAAGTGAGTATTACAAATCCAAAAACCAGAAACAGGGTCAGGTGAACACAGCAGGGAGCACAGCAGACAAACCAACACAGAGACTGGGAACACAGGGTTTAAATACACTGGGGAAGTGTGGGTGATCAGAGCAGGAGGATTCAATCAGGGGCGGGGCAGACAATTACAAAGGCGGGAAAACATACAAATGCAGGAAGTGAAGTGAACACAAGAGGCAGGGAATTTTAAAATACCACAGGAAACAAACTAAATGAAACCATGATCGTGACAGACTGGGTCTATGCCTCGGAATTATTGAAGATGTTTGATGCACTCATAATAATAATATAATAATCTCTATGGGCTTTTCGAAATGTCCCACAACGTGGCCAGCTGAACCAACTGTTGTCGCACTTTAATACGACGACAGTCCTTGAATGTGGCCCAGATAATATACACAACGTTTAAAGAATGTGGCAAAATGTGGTCGGAGCGATCAGATCTCAATGTACCCTCAATGAGTCAAGAAAAAACTATTTATCCACCGTCAACAACATTAAGCAAACCCTCAGAAGACATTTCTTTCTCCATGAAACATATTTCCTAGGTGACTTTGATATTGTTACTTCACGGCTGGCAACTGCTGTTAGCTAGCAGATTGAATCAGATAGTGTGTGTTAACAGGGTTCATGTATGAGCAAGGTGGCCAGATGCTGGTGTCATGTAATTTAAGGAGTGACTGTGAACCAATGATTTCTTCTTCATGTCAGCTACAATTTAAAATGTGTTGTGTACGTTGAACCCCAACAGCACAGTTAGAGTCCCTCGTGTCTAATAATTCCTTCAGTTGTAATCATGCAGACAATAATCACAAATTGTTAGAATTTGCTCAGCTCACTTTTTCAGGAACTGAGATGATTTTAGTGTTAACAAGTTCTCAGCTCAGTAAAGTTGTATATGACAGCAGCAGTATGCAGTACTCCTGAGCGTACCGACGAAAAGCACAAATGAGAATCAGCTCAATTTATTTTAAATGACATGGCTTGTGTGGCGGCTAGTTCTTAGCGGACCAGCGGTGGTGTTGGTATTGGGAGCAGTGCGAGGCCTGGGGCAGCTGCTATTCATAGACTTGAATTCTCAATGACGGAGTAGACCTAGATGTGCTTTGAAGGTTTTTTTCAGTTTATTGAGCTTTTTTTGGTGGAAAATCCATTATTAACAATACATTACTCAATGCAGAGCACTTTTATGTTTTCTAAATAGTAAAAAGAGGAGATATTCAAAGGAAAATATTGTTAAAAACACCACAATTTGCACCATGCTGAGCAACTGATATGTGATGCGATTCAAAGCTCAACAAGCGTATCTGCTTTTGATGTTTCTTCAAATCCAGATAAATTTATAAATCTCTGCTATCAGCTGTCTCTACTCATACAGGCCACAAGAAAGAGAACTCAAAGTAGCTGTTGCAACATTAGTTGGCTTGCTGAGAGGCAAAGAAGACAAACCTCTGCTTATGTCTCACTACTAGAATCAACCAAACCCTTCAGACAATGCGATCACGATGTAATCAGGGCTCTGCGTGTAAGTCAATCAAGATGTTGGGTCGCATTCTTGAGAAAACCTCCAAGCTGTCGTTACAATTAAATTCTATTTAACTACGCCTGATTGTCGGCACAGTCACTGTTGATTTGAGTTGGTTTAGGTCCTTCCACGAATGTGTGCACGCAAAACCTACACTTTTATGCTACCATAAGGCACACAATGACATGCTATACATGAAGGCAGTGTGTTTTGTGATTCAGGTCTGATAAAAATTGAAAATTAGACTATATTATTTTCTTATTTAGAAATAATGGTTTTAGAATTAACAATAAACCATCCTGAATTATACTTGACATGCGTATGAATAGATGATTTGCAGCGGAAATCCATGAGAGCGGCTTGATTAATGGCACGGGTTCACATAAATTCAGCATCATTAAGTATTCCGTCACCACACGTCTTTTCTCTCTTTCAAACAAGCTCCACATGGGCTATAAACAACCGTGGCATCAAATGTAACTGGTTTGAAGATGCATTACCAAATCCCCCCCGGGATCCTTAAGGAAATATCATAAACAAGTCTCTCGAGGTTATATTCCACGTGTCGCACCATTAGGGGAAGATGAATCCCTAAATCAGTCCAGGCAATTTCCCTGTATTGAAAAAAGTGATACTAATGCAGCTGCTGAGAACCCTTTAAGTGTTAATGTTTTACCGAACACGCTTCCCTTCCCTACATCTCAGCCCAGACCCAAAGAGATGCTGAGGCGTTCATTCCCCATTTACCCGCACTAACGGATGATCCTCACCAGTAAAGGTCAAATTCTTGGCCTTTTCGTCCGTCCGTTGTCCCAACACAGCTGACCTTTCGCTCAACTTCCCGTGACCTCTACGGCAGCAGAGCAACAATAATGAAAAGCCTGCTTCGGTAGAGAATCACAGAAACTACAGAAGCAAGAGCTCACCCGACCTGTAACATTTAGTGTCCTTTGAATAAACTCTTAACTATCTCAGTTTTCCAAATTTATTTTCTCCAGAAAAAGAGAAAAATACCTTCCCTCAGGATTTTAGCGCGTTGAATAGTAACACAACAATCCTGCATTTAAGAACTGAATCCCTGTACAGACGGAGCATCACTCCCACAACTAAACGGTGCCAAAGATGAAAAATGCTTGTTACGCTCGTGTCCCTGGGACTATTGTTCAGCTATCGATCTGTATGACAAATATACTGTTTGTCGTCAGAAAAAGCATTTTTTTAATGTTTTCTACAAACTCCAACCATTTTTTCTTACTGTGAAGAGAGCCTTTTTGCTGACTCAGGGGCAAACAAAATAACACACTTCTTCCAAATAATTTTAGGCCACCACAGCCAACCTCTCCACTAAACTAAAGCCTGCAGGTCTTTTTCTTTAGAATGGCTGTTTATTTCATCAAATTGGTGTGTGCACAGGCAAAGAGGATTTGTAAGTCAAAAAGAAGACTCAGTGTAATCAGTCTGTTTTTACTAAAAAAAGAAAAATATGGTTCACAATAATAAAGCACGATTTACAGAAAAGGCCTGTACACTGTGTTGCAATGCCTTCTAAACATAATGATACTGTGTGGGTGTAATTACAAGCTGTACATAAACCAGTTATAGATGCGCACAGATGCAGAGCACAGATTTGTTTATTCCATGCACATTCACAAAAAGAGACTTATTCTGCTTTTACTGGTTTCCTATCACATCCCATTACATTTACACATGACACCGGGGCAAAAGGTCATGAGGGATGTTAACGAAAAAGTCTGGAGCGTTAATGTATTATGACCTTCTCTATCTCTATATTTGAGAGTACTTTAACCTCCGCCTATACATTGTGACATGCAGAATCACAGCCCTTATGAAATACTCACTCAGGGCGTCCGACCGACCGAGTAGGTCCCCGCTGATTTAGAACATTGTCAGCAGATGATTTATGTGAATAAATGTATCCTGAATTATGTCCGAGAGGTAATAAGACATTTGGACTCCTGTTTAGTGAGCGATCCTTCACAGCCAGTGTGGCAAACAATCATGGCTGCTTCTCGCTGGTGGTCTAGGATTACCACGGGGAGAGGGGTGAAGGTCAAGAGCTCCAGAGGGAGACATCGCATGGTTTGTGGTATCCTGATTGTTTATGACTGGGTGAAATGAAGTTTGGTGTTATATTGCGTGACTGTAGTTAAGAACAAGCAGTCGCTTTGGACGAATTATGAGACAACAGGCCCTTGGGCACATGTAGAGGGCCCCCACTATGGAGTCATAGGAGTGCCATAATAAAGAATAAAAATGTGACGTACTTTCAACCAGGAAACTGCTGTTTGTGGCCCCAGTGAAACTAAAAGTAAACATTGGCATATTTTGTCTTTTCGTGAGTCAGATGATTTGTTAGTATCGTCACATAAATCGTTAGTCAAGTAACACGTTAGTGAGTCACGCGATTCACTAGTATCGCGAGTCATTCGTCACTCGAGTCTTTAGTCATTGAAGATAATGTCATACAAAAAATAATTTGTGGTCATTTATATGCAAAAAATAAATAAAGATGCATCTTTTAAAAAGTACATAAAGAAATACATAAAGAAATAAATGTCCATATTTCCCATATCTATTTAAACAGATTTATTCTTTACAAAGGCACTCCTATGACTCCATACTACACATGTCCTGCACAGGAGCAAAACACCCAGACTGAAAGAGACACAATGTCCCCCTTTGTGGCTGTTTGAGGTCATATTGCATCTATTTATAATTTTTTTTTTGTCTCTTTGTAGTTTTTATTTTGCATTTGTCTGTTTTGTAAACAGTAATTTTAAATGTTTTTTTTCAGTTTTCCATCTCTTTGTAGTTCTGTGTCTCATCTGTCTCTTTGTGTTAATTATCAATTTCCTTGTGGTTATTTCGTGTCTCTTTTCAGTCGTTTTGTGTCTCTTTGTGGTACCGAAATGTTCAAACAGAAGTTCTCCAGTGGGTCACGTGACCCCAGGGCCCGTCTGTGCCCAGTAGACCTGTTGAGTAATGCATTTACAGCTATGGCATCTTGTCAAATGAATAACTTAAGGTACCAATGCATCACAACGCAACACTTGCCCCTCAAAGTGACAAATGCTGGCACTTTCTCCCTCCTGTTGAGACTCTGGATGCTCTGCTCTGACAGCACAATTTCACTGATAAAACCCTACTCTGGCCATCATTTCCTCCATGAGAACACCTTCTGCACTTCACACCAAATAGCTTTATGAGAATCTGTTGTCTTGTGAGAACAGCTGATCTCATCCTTTTTCCAGGTCGTGCTGCCACAACAGCAGATAACAATCCGGCTGGCGTGTGAAGTGTGGGATAACCGTGAGGCTCGGCTCACACTGCAAACTTGTTCAGGAGAGTGGAAAGACAAAAGAAACTCATAGTGATCAAGCCTGAATGGCACTCTCCATCTGTATAATTGGTTGAAATGAGCTATGGAGGACCACCTGCTGACTGCGTCATTCAGAGCTCTTTTACATGGAAATTGTGCCCAATGTCGCTCATTCTGTCAGAGGAGGCGGCACACAAAGAATGAGCATAATCATCAGCTCAAGAATGCTCCTAGATGGAAATAAGTTATCATTTTCAGCTTTGCTTTCAGTTTATCCACTGATACAAACACTTTGTGGAACTAATCCCCACAATAACGATTTAGACTGGACATAACTGAGATAATAGCTATGTATTATAGTATTGCAAACTTAAAAACTAATAAAACCGTTCCTCAGTCTCAGTCTGCCAGTTTAAAGCTGCGCTAATAAATGTTTTTTTTATGAGAAATGTGAAAGGGATGGTCACTCACGGTGACAAATCCACATAGACTAATTTATCGGGCATTTTAGTGTCGTTTTGCTCTTTCTTTTATGGCCCACAAGTTTAATTTTCAGCTGCAGCGGGCAAACTTTTCAATGAAAAAGTTCTGATTACTGTTGACGTATACCTGCTCAGGAGTTAGAGACTCCTGGTGTGAAACAAGGAAACAAACTTAAAGGACATGCATCAAATGGTCGTCTTCACATGCTGTGTTTTTTCATCCTCCTCTGCTAAAGGTGCTTCTGAGACATGACTTCAGAGACATATGGAGGGACTTGGTCTCAAGGTCTCTGCAGTAGTACGGCAGAGCTTTGATTGAGTATGGCCATGGCAGTCCAGTGATCCTTGAGAGGAAAAGCAGGATCAATCCCTCTCCTATCATTCTGATTTATCAGTCTTATTTATTTCTGTCTGCCCGCCTCTCTCCCCGAGTACCCGTCTCTTCAGGACTTCCAATTTATCATTAGCCAGCGCTTCTCTGAGGGCGCCGAAGAAGGCATGATAGTGGGCTGTGTTGTGGATCATGAGCAATACTCCAGCCAGCAGCTCATTGGTCACCAGCAGGTGGTGCAGGTACACCCTATGGTGGTTCTTACAGCAGTAGCAGCCACACCCCTCAACCAGGGGCCTGAAGTCATCTTTGTATCTGGGTAGAAGTTCAAAGAAAGTTTAAGAAAGTACAATTCATGAACAGGCACCCGAAATATAAATCAAGTGTTCTTGATTCTGCAAGCGTTGAGGTTTCATGATAGCTGCCACAAACCTGTCGCCTTTGAGATTGATCTCAAAGGATGTCATCTGCGATTGATCGTCAGGATTTAAATCTCCATTCTGTTGCGTCGCCCCCGACGTGTCTCTCTCTCCATCCAGCTCCAGCACTAGCAAAGCATACATGCGTCGTATTAAATCACAGCTCAACACAAACTATTCGCACCAACATCTCATCCGTCCCTACATAGAAAACCACAGCGCTCCATCTGGCGGGCCAATAATACGCGAACACATACTGTAGCTTGACCCCTTTTAAACACTACTGTGTCCTATACCACCACCCCCCCCATAATATAATTATGTTCTGACAACCGGGGCCTGTCCTACACAGAGGGGTGTTCACTGCAAGGTCACTTCGCTTAATTTAATGAGCATAGAAAAGTAACCAGAGGTGATAAAGACTGTGTGTTATCCAGAGGGCTGTTGTGCAAAGGAGGGTCTACCACAGTTAAAGACACCGGGGATACAAGGAAGATAAACTACAGGGAGGAGGGAAAGAGAAAAAGGATGAAAATGGTCCATAATGACGCATACGATTAAAGATAGGTTTAGCGCAAACTGTAGCAGGTGAAGCGGAGAGCAACAAAGTGTATAAACAGAGCATAGAATGGAATTTAGCTTAAGGAGGGGGTGATAAGAGAATACCGGAAACAAAATGAGGCTTGACCAAAGCAATAAGATGTAGAGAAGAGCAATTCTGTCTTACAAAATCATAGAGCGGAACAGAACTGTGAGGCAGACAGTTGGAAACCTGAATTTTTTTGCATGCATTACACTCTAAACGTCTAAAAGGCTGCAAAGATAATTTGTTCAATTCAATTTATTTTTGTATAGCCCAAAATCACAAATTTGCCTCAGAGGGCTTTACAATATGTACACATTTGACATCCTCTTGTCCCAGGACCCTCACATTGTTCTTCATCGTCATACTTCCTTTCCGTTTTGACAATTCAGGTAGTTTAATTAATTAGTCTTCAATTAAATACATTTAAATATGTAATTCCAAAGGTAGCTCAACCCATTGACTGTAGGACGTCGTCACCGTGACATTGGTTTGTGGACTACCGTTTTGAAGCCTTGAATTTGGCATTTTAGCAGTCGCCATCTTGGTTTTTTTGCAACCAGAAATGACAACCGAACTCTGAACAAGATACATCTAAACAAACTAAATGTTATAATCAACTTTCATAAACTGAAAACACACTGTGAAAGGTTTAAAGTTCTAAGACAAAAACTCGGACAACGTTGTGGTAGCGACCTGTCAATCAAAAGGTAGCAAGTTTAAGGCACTTCAGCATTGGCTTCACCTTTCAGAACCGGAGGATGCCGCCTGACTCAACATCAAATCGTATGAATTTCACTGGAGTCTGAGGCTACAGAGATGGTAGTTACTGCCTCTCTGATAAGCTAGGCTAGTTGTGTTAGCAGGACTAGTTTATCTGGTGTTACCTTTTGCTCTTCATTATGATTACATTAGGCTACTGCCTCAGCTAAAGCTATTTCACCTGCTAACCGCAACTTGCTGTAGAGCTGCAGTTTGGTTGTTAGCACCGTTTTCTAGTTCTTACAAATGCTGTTTGATCCCCTGAAATTATACATTTCTAATATGGATTAATACATTTTATGGTTAAACAGATTCTGGTCTTAAGTCAATCTCAAATTTGTGCTTTAGCGTTTTGACTTTTTGCGGAAGAACAGGTGGAGGAAGTGTGGTTAGGGGATAAAAGTAAGATCCGATGATAAAAACATGAATGTATAACGATGAAGCGTAAAACTTCCGGCGGGTAAAAGGGAAGGAAGCGGAGGAAATAGCATATGGTCTGCAGTGTCAATGAGGGTCTTAACTGGAAAGTTCCCCCCCACGGGATTTTTGTAGTTGGTTGAGAGGGGAATTAGAATTTCTCTTCAGGTTTGACACCATCACTGCTCTCACCTCCACTGAACTCCATTACGCTCCCTGTGCAGAATCGATTAATGCCGTCTGACACTTGATGCTGCCGGATGCCGAACTTCACTCCAGCTGTCAGACGAGTTTATCGCTACTTTTTAATGAAGCACAAAGTCTTCAGCAGTCCATTTCCCACAGCTCTTGTCATAACACGTCTTTAGCTTTTCACTTGGGACAACAATCAGAATGATGGGCCCAGACCTACTTGTATGTAATGCACCATTTATTTAATTCCCCTAGCTGAAATTCTTTCTACCTCAATTACCTCAACTGACCTGGGGCTAATCATCTCTGTCCAAGGGCTGGACGACATGGGGAAACATTACTGGGATCATTTTAGACCAACATTGCCATTGTTTTTTAAAGTTCCTTATCTTCTGTATTGTTCACTGAACAACAGGCCTGATGTGAACAGAAATATATCAAAAATAAATGTGATATTTACAAGTTTCTTTTCTACTCTCACTCCCATATGTCGCATGGAGCGTAGGGCAGCATTCCAACCCTCTGCAAAAGTGTATTTAACCAACTTTTAAATAAAACAAATGCTTTCTATTACATTGCGATGTCAATTTAGATTTGATTCATTGTTCCACTCTACTCTGTACCATTAATAACATCAAAGTGGTGCCCCTTCTGACACCTAAACTTCTCTGTTAATATAAATAAATATTTACTCATCGCTTTGTCCACCTCTCCTTTATGCACAGAAATGATGTTACGTAAACGATCATTGTGACATGTCAGTGTGCTGCTGAATAGAATCCAGGGTTTTCCATCTTCTAGGGGTAATTTCCTTCATCACACTTTTTGGCTTTAGGCAAAGTTCTTTTACCTGAAAAGTCATTTGACAAGAGCAGAATTGTCCCCTTTTTAAATGTGGAACTAAACCTTGATTTAAATGCTAATGTCTAAAAACAAGTGACAGTTGCATAAATGACTGCCTAAGAAGAGAGTGCAGATTAGGGGGGCTTATGCAGATTAGAAAGGAAAAGGTTAGAGCAGCGGAAAGTTAACAAGTGTGATCTACAGCTCAACTACACACCTGGGTAAGTCTTAATGCACTGTTACGATCATTAAAAAGGAAAGCAGCATGTGTAGCCATTCAGTAAACCTTCAGTAGCTTGCACAGCATAAACGTTAGTTAATGATATGCTAACCTAGTATCACTATTACTCAACATTTAACCACGACGGCAATTCACCACACCTGCAGGGGCCGCTCTACCCGCCAGCTCTGGGTCCGGGGAGGTGTCGAAGCTGAAGCAAAGAGCACAGCCTCGCTCGGTCACCTGGAAGGGGAAGAAACTCTCGAACAGGTCCACACCGGCCTCCACACATGCCAGCACCTCATCCGGTCGTCCTACACCCTGCAGCAGTCTGAGAGTCACGCACAAACAGCAGAAGACATCATAGACATTAAGCCTCGGAGAACTGTGGGATCGCCGGCGATCCTCGCTGGCGCAAATGTCTTTAAGAGGCTGTAGCTCATTCTTACAGCTGGAGTGAATACTCGTATGTTAATGGTATCACAGTGTTTCCCATTAATTACCCAGATTGTGGCAGCCCGCCAAACTCTATTTTTTCCCGCCACAGTTTCATCATGAACCAAAAATATTTGTAATCCTTGCGCATTTCCTCCGCAACTGTGCAGCGATAAAATGATTAGCTTTAAAATATACTTAAAGTAGCAAACGTTAAAATATACAGTAAGAGCAAAACGGGATGGGATTTTTTTATCATTTTTATCAAATTCTTCAGTGGTCAAAACATTTACAACCAAAACTGTGTAGAAATGGTCTCAACCCAAAAACTGCTGCAACAACTTAAAGAGACATAATTAATACATTTTTATCTCTGATTTATGACTAGAACAACTTGGCATACGCAGCTGAACTGCATTTGAAATTAATCTTCAGGTTCCCTGCTTTCAGGTGGCGCATGTATATATACATACATACATATATACATACATATACATATATACATACATATACATACACATACA